GTTAGCCACAGCCAGGTGGCCGTGTCCCCCCACCTCACATCTCTGTCCCCCCAGACATCAACGAGCTGAACCTGCCCAAGACGTGCGAGATTGACTTCTCCGACCAGGACGACCTGCTGCACTTCCGCCTCCTCATCTGCCCTGACGAGGTGGGGTCCCCCTTGTCCCCTTGTCAGCCTCCTGGGTGCCCCCCACCCCGGAGTCCCCCCGTCCCTTTGTCCCCTCCTGTCCCTGTGTGTCCTCCTGGCCCTCCCCGTCCCCCGCCTGCTCCCTGTCTCTTCCCTCCACCCCCCACCATTTTGGGGTGCCCTCCATCCCTCCTGTCCTCACTGGCACCTTCCATTCCCCTCGGTCACCCCTGCGTCCCTGCCAAAGACACTTGCATCCCTTGGGGTTCCCCTGTGCCTCCTCTCTTTTCCCTAGGGGTCTTTCCCATTTTCCTGCCCCCCTCTTTGTCTTTGTTTGTCCCTTGGGGTCCCCCCAGTGTCCCCATCCTCCCTGTGTCCCCCAGTGTCCCTTGCTGTCCCCCTGGTGTACCCACCCTGGTGACGTTTCTCTCTCCCACAGGGCTTCTACAAGGGAGGGAAATTCGTCTTCAGTTTTAAGGTCAGTCCTGCACTGGGTGGGGGAATCCTGTGGCCACCAACATCCATCCTGGGGTCACCAAGATGGGACTGATGGCCACATGGCTGCTCCAGGAGTTGTAGGTGGCAGCAGTGGGGTGGATGGCCACCAAGGTGGCACCTGCGGCCAGCAGGGTCACACCCACAGTCATGAGCCTGTGGCCACCGGAAGATAAGCAGCCATGACTTATGGTCACCATGTGGGTTGGGACTGGGACTAGGGGTTGGTGGCCACAAAGACATTGCTGGTAGCCAAGTGCCCACCCTGTGGGTTAGGGTAGAGGCTCGTGATCACCAAGATGTGACCAGCGGCTATGTGTCTGCTCTATATATTGGAGGTGGGGGGGGGACTTGGTGGCCACCAAGACATGACCAGGCTGTGTGTCCATCTCTGTGGGTTGAAGATGGGACCTAGGGTTTGGTGACCACTAAGACGTGACCGTTGGCTGCGTCTACTCTGTGGTTAGAAACAGAGACAAGAAACTGGTGGTGACTAAGATGTGACATGTGGCCACCAAGACATGACAAGCAGCCACGTGTCCCCACTGCTGGTTGGGTCAGTGTCCAGCGACTGGTGGCCACCACTGTGAGACCAGTGGCCATCAAAACACGACTAGAAACCAGATGTCCACATTGTGGATTGGGGTAAGGGCTGGGGGCCACCAAGACGTGACTGCTGAGCTGTGACGCTGTGCCCACTCTCCACCCCTCCCAGGTCGGCCAGGGCTACCCCCACGACCCGCCGAAGGTGAAGTGTGAGACGATGGTTTATCACCCCAACATCGACCTGGAGGGCAACGTTTGCCTCAACATCCTCAGGTGGGCCACCACCACCACCTCCAGGGTGGTCATCACCACATCTGCGGTGGCCACAGCTGGATCTGGGTCCCCGTCGGAGATAAGGGTGGGATGAGGGGGCAAACAGTTGTCCCCGGTGTGTGTGTTGTATCTCTGCGCCTTGAGTGTAGGCATGGGGTTGCCACGGCCACCTCTGTGGTGGCCCCAGTGTCCATCCTGACCTCCATCTCTGTCCCCAGAGAGGACTGGAAGCCCGTCCTGACGATAAACTCCATCATCTACGGCCTGCAGTACCTCTTCCTGGTGAGTACCTGTGGGGTACAGGCACCTGTGGGTGGGGGGCACCCATCATGGCTCTGGGGTGGCCCTTGGGGGGTACCTGGTGGCTGTGGGACATGTCCTAGGGGCCCTTCGTGGCCTTGTGAGGCCCCAAGGTGGCACCTGGTGGCGCTGGAACAGCTCCTGGGGTCACCTTGTGGCTTTGGGACACCCTGAGGTGGCACCTGATGGCCCTGAGACTTGTTCTAGGGGCCCTTGGTGGCCTTGGGAGACCCTGAGGTGGTACCTGCTGGCCTTGGGACATCTCCTGGGTGCACCCGATGGCCTTGGGACAACCTGAGGAAGCAACTGGTGGCTTTGGGACACATCCTAGGGGTCCTTGGTGGCCTTGGGAGACCTCAAGGTGGCACCCGGTGGCCTTGGGGCAACCTGAGGAGGCACCTGGTGGCCCTGGAACATGTTCTAGGGGCTCTTGGTGATGTTGGGAGAGCCTGAGTGGCACCCAGTGGCCTTTTAGCACCTGGTGGCCTTGGGACACCTTGAGGTGGCATCTGGTGGCCCTGGGACGTGTCCTAGGGGCCCTTGGTGGCCTTGGGAGACCCTGAAGTGGCACCTGGTAGCCACAGGACACCTTTGGGGGCCACCTGATGATGCAGAGTCACCCCAATGTGTGTGTGATGACACCCTGAGGTGGCACCTGGTGGCCTGGGGACACCCCAGGAGGACACTTGATCACTTAATGGGGACGCCGGGGGGTTCTAGGCCATCCCAGACCATCCCCAACCCCGGTGCCACCGTGAGACCCCCCTGGTGTCCCGCATCGTGCCCCAGTGGGGGCGGGATTAGGGGGCAGTTCCCTGCTGGGGGGGCAG